CGTGACACAGGTGAGCGGGCAGCTGGCGCACATTTCGACTGTGGGAGCTGCCAGGAGTTTGCTCTCTCTGTTCACACCCCTTTGCAGAATAAATAAATACAACGGACACGCCAAACGAGGGGTGGGAGAAGGACAGGGTCCCCACCTGCACGAGCAGGATCTTGTAAGGACGATCAGGGAGGGTAAAGAAAGAAAGAAAGAAAACAGACAACCCAAGGGAGGGATGGGAGGACGGCACGCCGCCACCACACAGGGATTTTAAGGAGAGGTGTGTGGTGCGCTATCCGTCGCCCACCCTAGGGAGTCTGCCTCTTCCTATCTCTCTTCGCAGTCTCTCGCCTATTCTCGCTGCAACCTTCATGCCACCTCGCGGTCGTCCCACCCTCGTCGTTCTCTCCCTTGTCACTTCCTCCTCTGACGCGTTGTTCTCTTCTGCCTCGTCCTGCGACGCCGCCACCTGCCGGTCCCTTGTTCTCGCGGCTTCTTTCGCCTGTCGGCGCAACTCCGTCCTCCTCGCGGCGTATCCTGGCCCCTCGAGTCTATCGAGCTCCCCTCGCGCAAGGACCACATTTCTGACTCCCACACCGATCATTTGCCTACAGGTCATGTTGTTGCTCAGGTCCACTCTCTCTTCGAACACTCGTGCCTCTACGGATGATGCCGGCGCTGGGGTCCCCTTCGGATGCATCGTGACATCTGACAACTGGATTTCCACTGGTTCGTCCTCCTCGTAGTCATCAGGGAGGGTGAGTCTCGGCAAGCTGGCAGCTCGTTTTCTTGAAAACGATAATCCAGGTGAGCATGCACAATCTCGGATGCAGTAGCGCCCTCCGTCGCCCCGCCGGCTGACGTTCGCCGCCGCCACCGCCCCTCGGCCCCAGGCAAAAGTGGAATGATGACCACCGTCGCTCTCGCGCTCCTCGAGTCGGCCCAGGCCTTCACGGCGCCCGCGATGCGCGCGCCGGCCCGCTCCACGGCGGTCACCATGTTCGAGGAGGGCGACATCGGCGTGCTGCCGCCGCTCGGTGCGCTGCGCCCGCCTGCTTCCAGCGCGCTGCTTCGCCGGGAGTGCCCCTCCCTTCCCCGGGAGGCCGCCCGCTCAGACGGGGAGGCCACAGGCGCGCGGCCGACGCCTCCCGGCTCATGGGCGCTCAGGCGTGTACGACCCGCTCGGCCTGATCGAGACGCGTGACATGCGCCGGTACGAGATCATGGAGATCAAGCACGGCCGCGCCGCCATGCTCGGCTTCCTCCACGTCATCCACCTCGAGGCTGGCGTCCGCTTCCCGGGCTACCTGTCCGGCTCTGCGGGGCTCAAGTTCACAGACATGCCCAAGGGCTGCTTCGCCTCGCTGGAGGCGGTGCCGGCGCTCGGCTGGCTCCAGATCCTGGCGGTCGCCCTCGCGTGCGAGACCGGCTACGCCGGCCGCG